GTGTAAATAATGATGACTACACATCTCAGAAATTTAGTGCATAAAGTTGTGTTTTTTTTTCAAATTTTATATCTTTTTGTCTATCTTTCTACCTATCTGGTCAATGGTAATCTTAGAGATGGTAGATTTTAAATTTCAGGTAACCCCTTCTCACAAAAAAAAAAAATAAAAAGTTTCAGCATCGTATCTTAGTATAAACCAAAGAAGGCAGCCCAAATTATTCGGCCCTGGGTGCATATAATGTTTCTGTACATAATCACGGTTAAAGGTTGGAAATACAGGTTATTTTCAGTTGTCGAACACAAGTCAGCAGAAAATATATCAAAATATCATTCATATTCAATCATTCTGTAAAAACGAGATTGTCAAAATAAAACAAAGTTTAAAAGAAGTCAGCAGTGATTGCAAATAGCAGTTATCCTCCCTGGCCCCAAGCCAGATTCCAGTCATGGCTTTTTCATTTTAATAGAGATTGTTCGAAAATAATTGATTGTTGGACATTACTGAGGTTAACTGGTTCACTTGTAAAATGAATAAATAAATAGGAAAAAAACTTTCTTTGGAGTAATTTTGTTAGCTTAGCATTCATTAGAGCTTTCTCTGCCCATGGCATCCGTCAGAATCGAAAAATATTCATGTTATTTAACATTTTAAAAAGTAGGGGTCTTGTTCGTAATATAAAAACTATGTCAAATCGATCCCTGACTTCTTAAAAAGTTATCTACAGATTGTTTTTATTTATAATTGCCAAGTTTTAAACTGCGCTTACATAGGGTTGTCAGATGTCCCTTATATGCTAGACATGTCCTGTATTGGATCAATTTGTCCCCTGTCCCACACTGACCTTTCAGAGACACGCCAAATGACCCATATTTAGTTAATTCTCAAATTTCATAATATATTTTCTTGGTTGTAACTTTATCAGTAATTATACTTTCTTTTCTCAGATTCTCTTGAAAATAACCCAAATGTAACGAGGAACGTAGTGCTGCTAGAAGTTTACACAAACCTGACGTGTTTGCAACTTGTTCAGTTGCTATGGTTGACTGAGGATAGCGATACTTTTACTGTTTTACTTACCAACCTCGCTGCTATGCAATTCTGTATCAACACTGTCAACAAAGTGTGTTGCTACAACTTGGCATGGCACATTTTCTTTCTAACTTAAAAACTAACCCATCCCAAGATGCCAAAACGTAAGTGTAAATTTCGTGTTGAATGTTCCAACGAATGGAAAGCAAACAGTGGTGAATATAATAGCAATTTGAGTACTGAACATGGCGGAAAGTGTGATATATTAGAAAGAGATTTTAAGAGTATTCCGTATTTCTAATTTTCTAATCTGGCAATCTAATGCTTACATCTATTGTAGGGAACGACAAAGAACTGATACACATATATTAAATAAACTGTTCTAGTAGTAATATAAACATCTCTGGTGTTGGTCTCGTGAGGGGGGGGCGGTCCCAGTAAGCATCAAGACATCGAACTCTCTGCATTCGGGCAACCAAATCTTCAAAAAGTTAAATGCAATGTCAATCGTTATCTACTGTCTTCTTGATTCATCTTCTTTATTGTCCTTACTCCTTAATAATGTTATTCACTTTCTTATTCTTTCACCCTCAGTAACTCCTTGTGTCTTAGTGACTTTATTGCCTTGCTTGGAACGTAATTATTTTTTTAATAAAAACTATTACTAATTGGGGGTAAAGGACATCACCAGTAGCATGCAATTATCAATGACATTTGTAAATAAAAATAGAATATCGATGACTCTTTAAAATTAGAGGAATCAATTTGATGCCACGTTTATATTCAGGCCCTGCCTTCTAAAATGACAAAAATAAATGATATTTTTAAAATTCTGACAAATGCTTTTAGTAGAGAAATGTCTAATGAATGCTAAGCTACAAAAATTATTTAATTTTTTCTTTTTCTTACCAGCAATTAACCTAAGTAATGTTGATAGTTGTAAATGTGGTTAAAAAAGAGAAAAATGTTTTTCATCCATAATTGAAAAAAAAATTGTCTCTTCATTGCTTATTAAACAAATATCAATTCATAAATAATACCATTAATAATAATAATAATAATAATAATAATAGAGAACATTTCGAATGAAGTTTAAGTTGTCTCCCTTGAATGCAACAATTTAGGTATTGTAATAAAATGTAATTGCAATGAAAGAAATGCTTGTCAACAAACAAATCATCGACAATACTGCAATTCAAGTAAAAGTAAAAACGACTAGTGTATGTAAAGAAAGAATATGATATAGCATATTCCAAGAATATGAAAAAAAGCTCTATAGCTAAATTAATACTATCAGTCGCTCTTCATAGCCTAATATTGCCAACTAAGTAAAAGTATAGAGTAGGGTGGCTGGTTCTTTTCCAACCAGGGGACTGCAAAACTTATTCCTAATTAAAGGGTCTGAAGACTCCTTTAGGCACAACTTCCCAACCAGGGGACCACAGGCTCACTAAGCTTAATTAAACTAGTTTGGTATTTTTTAGCAATAGGATTTCATATGAATTTTAGAATGAAATAGAACTGTATTTTAAGAAATACAATATAAAAAGAACATCATCTTTTTTTTCAGAAGCGTAAATATCTTTGATGCATTTAAAATATATCTTTACATTAGGATGTACTTGTTCACGATTACTAATTTTGCATATTCTTTGCAATATAAAACAAAATGGCACAGCAGTTTTTAAAAAATGCTTTAAAAATTATGTGCAATTTTTAAAAAATGCTTAATTCTCAAAATGCAGGACAAAAACATGTCCCACATCAGTTAAAGTTTGACAAATCCTTCATCGTGAAAATCCTGCATTTTGCTAGAAGCTCGGCAATTCTATGAGAGCCTAATCGGTAAGTTAGGCTTTCTGAGGATAAAGGATCCAAGACTGAACATCGAAAGGCTTATTCTTGGATTCTGAGTTATTCCGCTTCCTAAAAAACATAAAATGGAGTCTGAGAAATGGCATGAAAAGCAACAAAAATAAGATGAAAGAAATTCAAGTCAGTTTTGAATAAGTAACATTGCTTCATCTCAGTAATTTGAATAACATTACTGATGGAAGACATTACCATCTACCCTGGACTGTGCAATGGTCAACAACAGGTCGTTGATGATTGAGACCAAAGTCACATGATAAGAATCATGTACAGTAACAGACAAAATCGCTCAAATTACGTCTACATTCGATACAGGAGGTCGATTTTAATCATGAAAGGTTGTAGTTTAAAAGCAGTAAAATCGACCTTGCTAACCAAACGCTCCTCTGTAGCTAAACTGGTATAGAACGTCAGGCTATACGACGGTTCCGTGTAGGATACAGGTTCGATTCCTGTCGAAGGACACATATTTTCTATGAAAATTTCTCGGACATTCAGGCCGGTAAATGTTGTTAATACTGTTTATTATAAACAGAACATTTACTTAAATATTTGTACCTATAATAATAACTTATAAACAGAAGATACCTTAAAATAATTGTCGGACTTTGTCCATTTCCTAGTATATATATGTGTGTGTGTGTGTGTGTGTGTGTGTGTGTGTGTGTGTGTGTTTGTACGCACAAGATACACTAGAAGTTTCTGGGGATTTTTCAGGGAGACATTTATTTCAAAACAATACAAAACTAATATCCTTCAAAGTAGGACCCTCCGACTTTCCAATGCTTTTGTTACAGCGACCCAGCCACTTGATGAAGGCCCTCTTGTAGTCCTCTAAAGTCAAGGTGTCTGGGGTCCTTGTCGCATCATATTTCATCTCCAACATGTCTTGCAAATGTCAATCCATAAGCAGTCTTGAGTATTTCATAGGTTTCTGATAAAGCCTGTGTTAATCTCTGGAAAAAAGTGCCAGAGAAACCTATGAAATGACCAACTCCGCGGATGGATTAACGTTTTAAGGACATGGCGGACATGAAAGAAATGAAAGAAACTGTGACAAGGATGCTGGACACCTTGACGATGGGGGGGGGGACTATGAGAGGGTCAAGAAGTGGCTAGACTGTGACAAAAATGACATTGCCCAGAGAATCTGATACTCACAGATCGAACAGAGGGAAAGAGAGACAAGGGAAAGCAACGCACACGGCACACCTTAAGCAAGTGGATGACAGAACGTGGTCTGGAGGAGGTGGCAGAGGAACGAAACTTATTGAGAGCTACAAGGGAAGTGGAGAACCATGATCGCCTACGTCCTGTAGGGTCACAGCACATAAAAAAGAAAAAAAAATGAATTATTTTAAAATAAATAAATATCTCACCTGAAAAATTTCAAAACTTCTGGAGAGCACTTTATCTATGTGTGTGTGTGTGTGTGTGTGTGTGTGTGTGTGTGTGTGTGTGTGTATCTATAAACATACACACTTGTAGATTATCAATATTTAATTAGCAAACAACTGAAAAAGTGTTTTTATTTTATTTTAGGAGATTACTTGTTCGATAATCAAATGCTGATTATTTACAAGTGTGGGTTTATTTTCTTTTATTATTTACTTTAAAATGAAATATTGAAAGACGATTCACTACAGAAGAGGCTTTGAGGTGAGTTGCTAAATGAGTGTTCACCTTCCCAATAACAATTAGTCATATGACTGAAAATGCTTGTAAAATCCCACTATTTTGAGCTTTTTATAAACCTATAAACGAACCTAATGATTTAGACGTGTGTGCCTATAAAATATCCATGTTATATACGACGTAGACATTTATGTATGCAAATGTTTATAATACTGGAAAATTTTTCATGATATACATATGTAGGTGCACAAATATACATGCAAATTTGCATACATGTATACAAATACATTTCATTTATAGTATTTACAAGTCTACGCATTTAAAAAAAGTAATTCAGAAATCTATTTCTTATATTGCATTCAGTAGACGGGATGGAGAGGCAATGAGAAAAGACTTAAACCATAAAGCTAGGGGTCCTCGATGAAGTATAATGCACTGTAGGAGAAAAGAAATAGAAAAAGTTACAGAAGATAAAAATGAAGGAAAAAAGGAAGGAAAGGAAAGAAAAGAAAATAATGAGAAATATGAAAGAAAAACAGAAAAAATGAAAGAAAAAACAAAAAAGAAAAGAAAGAAAAAACAAAAAAGAAAAGAAAGAAAAAAGAAAGCAAAGGGAAAAAGTATTTCATGTCAGTGTATTTAATCTGACATTTTTTTAAAAACTTTATTATAAAGGATACTCGTACTCGAAATAGATGCCCTATTTTATATTTACTTTAAACAATCTATATAACATCTATCAGCCAGTATCTGTACCCCACCCCAAGAAATCTCAATCAAAAAAACAGTGGTTTCTCTTACAAAGGGGGACACATGCTCTTGCGGAGAACACATTATATTTATTAAGAGTATTCTTCAATACTCCAGTCAATAGACAGAGACAATACACACTGCTTAAAGTAAAACTAAAAAAAGAATATCTATTTCAAATACGATTATCCATTATAATAACGTTTGAAGTAATAAAAATGTGTGCATATATAAGTGAACACTGAAGTCAACACTCAGAAGCGACAGGCCGCAAATGTCAAGAAAAATCCAACACTCTCGGCCTGACGATTGCGTCTAGCATGAAACAGCCTGTCGCCTCTGAGTGTTGACTTCAATGTTCACTTTTATATTCCTATACATACGCTCTATCTCTGATATTGAGCACTTTATCCCATAAATATAGCACACTTTAAAACTAGAGAGAGAAAGAGAGGATAGAAAGAAACTCCCTATTGAAAATTATTTATAACTTTTGTTAATATCACCACAGTTGCATGAAACAAAATATATTGTGATTCCTAAAGTGATAGAATTGTATTCCTAATTTCTGTTTTGATTTCAGAGTAACAAGTGTAAGCCAGAATGGCACAAGGCCTGACACTGGATGAGCTTGATCTGCTAGCATTTCGTTACGAAGCGTTGGAGTTCGTGGCACAAGTGCACCGATGCTGACGCAGTGTACACGCACCTCGTGCTTCAGTAGATACCAAAACTATCAGAAATTTTCATTCAAAACTGATGAATATAGGATGTGTGGTAGATCCCCAAAGAGGCTGTCGTACTTCAACATCCAGTTTGGAAGAAAATGTAAAAAAGATAGAATTTTAACTGTACTGTTACCATTATACTGTTGAAAATAAAACATGTTTTATGAAAATCGACCAATAATTTAATAAAGCTATTAATAATTTTGATGGATGGAGTTTCTTTCCACCTACCGTGTGTGTGTGTGTGTGTGTGTGTGTGTGTACGCGCGTATGAAGAATTCAAAGCCAGAGAGGATCAGAACGGTCAGTTTCAAGTTGATCACAAAATGCTGTCATCTATTTCATAAATAGCAAAGGAAAATATCTTCAATTTGGTTTGAGTATCACAATTTTGCCACAGAGTTCATTTTCAATACCATTTGGAGGAATCACATAAGTTTCATTGTTACGGCCGGGACTAACTTTGAAGAGGTTCTGGTTACTTGCAATGAGATCTTTCAGTGACCACACCCCCGGGCGTCGACTCTTACCCTGCATCGTGTATACAAATGCATTCTCCATGTAGCCAAGTAACTTTTTACTGAGTACACCATCAACCGGGCCATCAACTTCGGCATGGAACAAACGCGGAACGTTAGAATCTCGCTCAAAGTATTTGTTGAGAAAAATTTCTGCAGACTCTTTTAGCACCAGGAAGCAACCTGAAAAGGCATGAAAAGTAAAACTTAGTTCACGGTAATATCTGTGTGTGTACAAATTTAAAGAACTTCAAACCTTCGTGAAGTATTATAGGCAATACTTTCAAGAAAATTTAAGTTAAAATCTGATACTTGGTGGCTAGCATATGGTGTCAAAAGTTGGTAATGATCAATTTGACGTATGAATTACTGCTTTGCTTGGGATGAAAGGATTTTTAAAAGAATCCTGCAAGTTTTGTGTCATACCTATGAACATTAATGTGTATGTCCCAACCCACATAAATACGTTGGACAATATTGGAAATGGGTGCGGGGGAATAATATGCTGTAGTCGACCACTAGCAGTGGTTTACCTACTTCATGCTGCTGGCGAGTATTGTATTTTGTTGATGTTATAAAGATTAACATTTCGGTTGCAATCTCTGTTTCGGTTATTCCTCATTCAGTAACCCTTCCGAGGTTACAACAGAGATAGAAGGGTTAAATGCGAGAGAAGGGGAAGAGGGAGAGGGAGAGAGAAAAAGAATATATATATATATATATATATATAGAAGGGGCAGAGAGAGAGAGAGAGATGGAAGGGGCAGAGAGAGAGAGAGATGGAAGGGGGGAGAGAGAGAGATGGAAGGGGCAGAGAGAGAGAGAGAGAGAATGGAAGGGGCAGAGAGAGAGAGAGAGATGGAAGGGGCAGAGAGAGAGAGAGCTATATAGAAGAGGAAAAAGAGAGAAGGGAAAAAGCGAGTGTTATATACTGTTCATATGAACACTAATGGGTATGTCCCAATCCTCATAAATACGTTGGACACTATTGTAAATGGGTGCGGGGTGGGGGTGGGTGGTAATATGCTGTCTATGTGGTCCACCACTAGCAGTGGTTTACCTACATTTACACCGCTGGCGAGTATTGTATTTTGTTGATGTTATAAAGATTACCGTTTCATTTCCAACCTCCGTTTTAGTTATTCTTCATTCAGTAACCTTTTGTAAATTCCAACATTTTGATTAACTTCAAATGATCATAAGTTGACAAATACATGGTGTCCTGGGTATGGCGATAAATTATATCTGGCAGCAAGGCCTCTGATCGGGAAGTTTTGAGGAGCGCAGAACCACCTCTTAATTGCTGTTGTTCCCAGGTTCACCCGAACCCACGGGTAGTAGGACCTGTTACGGTCCCAGCCATAGGCAAATAGTTAAATCCCAAACTGGAGTCAAAATACTATAAAAGTACAAAATAGAGTTTTGTAGTAAAAATACCAGCTAAATACATTTTTGAAAAACAAAATATTACCAGCAATACAGTTTTGATAATAAAAGAATATTATCAGCAATACAAAATATACCATCAATACATTTAAAAAAATACTGTGTTCTCAGTGCAACTAGCTGGTTTTTACAGTGTTTTTTATTGAATATTTTGTGTAGAGTGCTTGATTCCGAGAAATGTTTGTTTAAGAGTTTGAAAAATATTTTACCTACGTTTATATATGTGTGTGTGTGTGGTAAATTTTTTAATGGATTTATTTTTAATACAATATTTTTATTACTTCAAACTTTCTTTTTAGTGGATGCTCATATTTTAAATAGACAACTAGTTTTTATTTTAAACAATGTGCATTCTTTATTAAGTTCTGTGTGTGTGTGTGTGTGTGTGTGTGTGTGTGTGTGTGTGTGTGTGTGTATATGTGTGTACACAGACTGGTAGATGCAATATACACAGTTTAAAATAAAAATGGAGCTTCTATTTCAAATGCGAGTATCCACTAAAAATAATGTTCAAATATTTTTGTAATGCCATAAGACAATTGAAAGTTTGAAACCATTGTCCTCCATGGTAACCGAAATGATAAATCTTCAGTTTTTTTGGTTTTTTATTTATTATCTATGTTAAACTCTTCTGAAAAAGTTGATTGCTTCTTATAATCTGAGCATTATTTTATAGCTCAAAATAGTAATCTTTTGCCAATCTATAGGATTCTTACGGCTTTTTTAACCATCTTAACTTGAAGTAAAGATAGTTTGAGTGTTGAACCCCAAGCAATCATGAATTCCTTGTTCCTGAAGAAGGAAACTCCAAAGAAAATCCCTGCATATCCGATAACAAATGATACTCAACCAAGAAAGAAATGGTAAACAAAGTTCCAGTGTGATTTTGAGATCTCAGGATGTTCCGGGACGCCATTCATGGCATCAACTATTGGAACAATTGATCATAATTTTTTTTTATTGATAGAAGACCCAAGAGCCAGTCAAGGTAGAAGGTTACTGAGTGAGATTGTTGTAAGAGAGGAGGAAGAAGGGATTAAGAAGTATATATGATGATATGTATGATAGATATTGGTTGACCGTAGACTTAAAAGACCAAGATTGGATCTGTCAAAGAGGCAGTCTCTTGGGAGTTTTTTTCTACATAGGAAAAGTTCTAGGGAAAAAATCAGTCTAAGTGAAACATGCTTTTTATCAAAGGAGCTTGAAGAGAATAGATATAGTTTGCTACCATGAACACAATGGGCCCTAGCTGTTAAGGCTCGAGCTGGTGACACTAAGGAATGTAAAGCGTCTGACTATCGGCCATAATAATAAAAACATAGTAATGAAAAGCTGGCAATGTTTCACCTGTGAAATAAGAGTTGCAGAGTGGAGAATAATACACCACACATAAGGCCGTGAAATGAAATTACAAAACATCTTATAGAAAGGAGAGCGAGATGAAGGGACTCAGCATAAACTACAAGAAGACAGAATGAATGGTCATCAGTAAAAAGATGAGCCTGAAAATGCTATTTACAGATCGGGGAGACTAAAATCAAGCAAGTGCGGAAATTTAAATATCTGGGAAGTGTTCTGACAGAGGATGGTAAGTGCGACACTGAGATCCATAGACGTATTGGGATGGCCAAAGACGCATTCCAAAAGCTAGGCAGAGTATTACGAGACAGGAGGATTTCGTTGCTAACAAAGAAAATATTACTGAACTCCTAAGTAATATCTGTCCTCCTTTACAGAAGTGAATATTGGATGGTCTCCTTAAAGATGAAGTGGAGACTCGAGGCAGGGGATATGTGGTTCTACAGAAGGATGCTAAGGATATCATTGACCGAGTGTGTGACCAACGATGAGGTTTTGGAGAGGATGCAAACAAGGAGGAAGCTTATACTTAACATCAGGAAGAAGCTGCTGAAATTTCTGGGACACGTAATGAGAAAGAAGGGCTGGGAGAATCTGATACTCACAGGTCGAATAGAAGGAAAGAAAGACAAGGGAAATCAACGCATGACATACGTAGCGGAATTAAGCAAATGGATGACAGAACATGGGAAGTAGCAAAGGGACGAAACTTATTGAGAGCTACAAGGGATAGGGGAAAGTGGAGAGACATGATCGCCTACGTCCTGAAGTGACACGGCACATAAAAAGAAAAAAATGAAAGCACTGTCTAGGCTGAGCAGTAAGGACTGGGCAGCAGCAGGAACCCAGATATGGCAAAAATAGAAATCTTGGTCAATAAGCAGAAGATTGCTCTTACACTGGATATTGAGGGAACACATCTGATTTAAAATGTATTAGTAGTTGGGTATGCAAATGCCATCGGTACAGGGTGGGGCAAATGTTTGCATGTCAAAATGAGATATGCAGCAATTTCAGCAAACTAGTGATCACTTTTTGGAAAGATTTGTCACTGTTGATGAACACAGTTACACCTCAATGATCTGGTGACCAAACAATATCTATGCAATAATGGCACATGGCTTCTGGACAACCACAGAAATTCAGTCAGGTTCTCAACATAAAAAGATAGACTTCTTTACAAGGCACATTAATCTCATAGTAGTGGTCACTTACCAGTTAGCAGCGCCCAGTGAGCTTTATGTCCATTTTGAAGGCAAGGATGGTAGTTTTTATCCGAATCATAACTATGACAGTCAAGGAACACAATAAATAAAAAAAAAAAAAAAAAAAAAATCAATCATGCAAGATTTGATTAGATCATATATATATATATATATATATATATATATATATATATATATATATATATAAAGATAAAAACAAATGGAATTCCACTATCCTTAACATTTAATTTAAAAAAGGGCTCAATACAGAATAGAGATAAATATTATTCATTGTAAGAGATTAAAACAAAAACATGTTAAAAATCGCTACACAATAGCAATCATGTTCCAATACTACAAATGTGTCTCTTCGGGCAATGATAAATTACTGTTGAGGCTCACCAATAATTTATCATCGCCTGAGGAGACATATGAATAGTGTTGAAACACGATTGCTATTGTGTAGCAGTTTTTCATGTTTTGTTTTAATCTCCAATATTATGTGTGTGTGTGTGTTTTGAAAAATAAAAATATTAAAAAAATTAAAATTTTCTGACACAATGGGTTGTAAATTAATATTTTTTGTTTTATTATTTCAATTAGGTTCCTCAAATATATATATATATATATATATATATATATATATATATAGGGAAAAGCCTGGGCATAGATTAATATTTCGGTAATATTCAATGGCGGCACTCTCGAGAATTTTCCTTCTGAATGAGTTATTTTCTTTTTTTATGAGTGTGGCATTTTTAAAATCAAAATTGTAGTTGAATTTATTTCTATGTATGACTAGTGCATTAACTAAGTTTTTTTTTGTGAGGTCTCTTTTGTGCTCATAAATGCGTTTTTTTTTTATTTATACTTGTTTTTCCAATATATTGGGAGGAACAGTTTTGGCAATTTATTTTATAAATGCCTGCTTCAGAAATATTATTGCTATTAGTGTTTTAAGATCTGAGTATACCCATAATGGTTTGTGATTATTTTAAGATTATTTAGATGGGATAGGTTGTTCTAGATAGTGGATGTGACAGAGTTGGTCAGTAGTATTATGTATCTGTTTTCATGTAATTTATTATTCCAGATTGTGTTAATATTTTTGTTTCGGCTGTATATTTTGTATGCCTTTCTTCTTCCATTGTGGATGAAATGATATATATATATATGACAAAGTAGGAAAAAGTTTTCATGTGATACATTTCATCTTTTAGATCGAGTTTGTTTATATTGTTCTAATTGCACATGTATACAATGGAGAGTTGCTGGGAATTCTAATATATTTGTAAACACATTTTCACAAGGCTGTGATGGATGATGTTACCTCTGAAAAGCATGTACTGCAGTATGAAGCCTGTACAAAAATTTATAGTGTTTTTTTTTATTATTATTATTACTTAGTTTTATAAAAAGACAAACAAAATGCCCGATTGAGATTCACATCTTTACATTAGCAAATATCTGAATTGTTTTTAAGCCTTTCAGCTTTCAGCCACATCACATTGAAACACCATTTCCCGTATGATCACTGAAGTTAAACAACATTGAGCCTGGTCAGTACATAGATGGGTGACCGCTTGGGAATACCAGATGTTGTAAGATTAAATGTGCGAGTGATGCAGTGGATAATGGCTCACAGTTGCTAATTGGAGAGCCGAGTTCCAATTCTAGTTGGCCACATTATATTCATTTACGCGCAAATACCCTTTAAAAAGTTATCAATCCACCTCTTCTCCCACCAGCTATGGGTTAATTAGTAAGACATATGTCACTAAATCATTACTATCTTTAAAAAAAAAAAAAAAAAAAAGATCTTACAATCTAAAAATATCTTCTGGCTTTAAATAACATGCAAAGGTTGATAAGTCATAAAAAACAAATCAATCAGTTTTTAAGCCTTTCGCAGCAGAAAAGACATTAGACATTGCAATTTCATCGTCTCTCACAGTTTAATAAAAGGATACGGCACAAGGAGGAGATATCCCTGCAGCAAACACTCCCAGATCACATTTGGACAAAGGTTGGCGCTGTCAACCACTTGGGCACTACAGAATTCTTGAGCAAGATCTTCCATGAAGTATGCTGCAAAAAACAAAGACAAGAAAAAAAGTCAAGAAATCTTTCCCATAACAAATTCCACCCCCCACAAAAAAAATTTATGCAATGAAGTAAACCCCCCCCTCACACACACACTTATTAACTTTTATAAAATTTAATTTAAAATAAATAAATACATATATTCTTGATTTGAAGTGCTTAATCCATTGTAATATGAAAGAAAAAATGAAATTCATTTACAGTTGCTACCAGATAATTTTTTTTCCAAATGAACCCTGTAGAATTTAGTAAGACCAAGTGACTGGAGACCCTTGTTGTCATCTTGTGTGCAAATGATCATAAAAAATTACATTTGTTATTCAGTATAGATGTTTATGTAGAATTGTTGATTTAATATTACGAGTGGGGACAAATTTAAGAAAACTTGTATGGAGATTATATAAGATATATCTATATTTTTATATATATATTATATATAATTTAATATTTATGATATATATATATCTTATATATAAGTCAGCAAGAATTCATCCAAACAGGTTTTGTTAAATTCAACAGACCGAGTCTGTCTGTTTAGTTTCATTTATCCACTTCCAAAATCATTATTTATAAAAATAAAAAAAAATTAAAAAGGAAAAACCAGCTATGCAAAAAATGTGCTGAAATTATTGTGGCAAAAAATTATTTCAGAAATGAAAAAAAGAAAACAAATAAAACGTTTGTCTATTTAAGAAGTTCTTTTCTTTCGGATGTCAGATCAAAAATAATTTGACTCACCAGAAAAGAGTTCCCCTTGAATCGTGTAACCTTTCTGCTTTCCAATTTTCACTAATAAATCAAGTGTGAGATCATCTTTTTTCCATATGTGGGCAGCCATAATGAGTGCAGCAAAACCACACCTTTAATTGGCAGGAGAGAAAAAGAGTAAAAGTAAGTACTGAACAAAAAAAAAAAAAAAAGAAAATGAAAGAAATGCAAATAAATGGAGAAATTATACATTATATTGAATTTTTTTTAAATATGTGAATGGAATGAAACAAAGTTTTTTAAAATAAAGAGGTGTAGAATGAAAGAACAAAATACAAGATAAAAAAAAAAGAAGGATTAATTTAAATTAATAAGGACAAAAAGGGAAGAAAGAGCTAAAAAGGGAAAAAAAATGGCTAGAAAAAAGGAAAAAAATATCTAAAAAGGAAAAGATGGATAGGAAAAGGAAAAGAATTTTGAAAAAGGAAAACAAGATGGTTAGAAAAAAGGAAAACAAGATGGCTGGAAAAAAAGGAAAAGAATATAAATTAAAAAAGTAAATGAAAACTGAAAAGCAAAAATCAACTAAAGAAAAAATATTAAAAGAAAGGATAAAGAATGAAACATGAAAACAATACTAATGTAAAAATAAAAACTACAAAATAAAAAAAAAAAGATGACGAATATGGCTCTCCCCAATTTCCTCTCCTTTGTAGCTTTTAATAAGTTTCGCTTTTTGTTATTTCTCTTGAAACTTGTTCTGCCATCCATTTACTCAAGCTCACTCAGTAAGTTACACATTGTTTTCCTCTTTCCCTCTTGCCTTTAATCTCCCCTCTGAGTATCGAATTTTCCAAGCCTTCCTTTCTTATTATATGCCCTAGAAATTTCAACCATCTCTTCCTGATGTTAAGTATAAGTGTCTTTTTTTCTATTTCCTCTGAAACTCCATCACTACTTACATGTTCAGTCATGGAATTCTCAGCAGCCTTCTGTAGGACCTACACTTTTCAAATATTTAAATAATTGTACTTGTTTGATAACGGTATTTCTAATTTGTATGTTGAACTTTTCCTTTTGCTAGCAACCATGCATTTTTCTTGCAATTGATGTTTAGTTCTATCTTCTCACTTTCCTTCACTACATTCTGTTGTCCTGGGTATGACGATAAACTACGTCCGGCAGCAAACCATCTGATCAGGAGGTTTTGAAGAGCATAGAACCACCTCTTAATTGCTGTTGTTCCCAGGTCTACCCTAACCCAGTGGGTGGTAAGACCTGTTAAGGTCCCAGCTATAGGCAAATAGTTAACCCCCAAACTGGAGTCAAAACACTATGAAAGTATAACAATACATTTTTTATATTAAAAATACCAGCAATACATTTTTGAAAATTTTACCAGCAATACATTTGACTCTAAAAAAACCCTCTTTACAAAAATACATCAGTGAAGCCTGATCTACAAACTGATTTCTTACAAAAAATATATATTCTATTCATACAAACTTATCCTAAAAATCTTGTCAGCATTAAATAACCCATTGAGGTGTTGATATGCCATAAAACAAAATAAACCAAACTACTTTCTATTCTTGTTGTTTGTTTTCAATGTCTGCTATCAACACTGTGTCATCTGCATATCTTATGTTGTTAAGATTATGGCTGCCTGGTAGGAGTACTAATTCTCTCAGGATCACCCCACTGTAGAGATTGAATAAGTCCAGTGAGAAGATACACCCTTGTCTTACACTGCTTTTAATTTTTGTATATTTACTGAATTAATTTTACATCCATATGCAGGTAGATTTGTTGGCGGTCATTCTACCCAGATTTTTGTTGCTATCTGGGTCTTGAAATTCCAAACATTTAACAACAACAGATCTTTTAAAGGAAACCTATAAAAGGTTATTTTCTGAAAGCAAAGAAGAATCAGAACGTCAGTGGAAATAACATTGGCATATTCTTTTCAGAAATATACAATAGCAATAAAATGTTCAATTTTCCTTGCAGTGAAGTTTATTTTATAAAGTAATTAAGTGTTCTTACTGAGGTATTAAATGTGTCAACAGACTTACTTTATGATGTGTTTGTAAGTTCTTAGTAGGCTTAGTAGGTGGTTGGTTAATCTCTTCTGTTGTGTATGTGGACAAGGCTTGAGTCATTGTCTGCTGGCTGTCTCTCTTCCATTGTGTGTGTATGCATGCAAAGATCAAATTAGTCTTCCAAATTGGTTTGAACCTCAAGAAACAGTACACTTCTATTTTTATATCCATAAGGGGATTCAGAATCTAATTGCATATAGAGGTGTAAACTTTTTGAATGCAATTTCACACTGGTTCTCGAAAATCTTTTTCTCAAATTTGTGGGAGTGGTGAAGGGAGTTATTATTGTTATTTTCTAAATGGTTCAAAAATAAGACATGGTAGATCTACAACTACATCTTGCAAGTATTTCAGCAGTATTTGCCCTTGTAATTATTGTTTATCAAACAAACCTTCTGATGGAATTTTATTGATTGAAAAATATAATTCCTATAGGTGGCTGCCAATATAGATCCTGGATTATTCTAATGTAATGCTCCATCATTTTGGCATAGATCACTTTTTCTTGGTGTGTCACTTTATAACTCCTTCAGGAGTCATTTTTGTTATAGGATTGTTTGCTCAGGCACAGGAATATTGCAGACCCAGTATTGTTGAGCACTTTCTGTGCATTATTTTCCATTGCTGAGATGTAATTATTCCTATGCTGTTGAGCAATATTACTGTCAAAGTAAAACAATTTTAATTCTGTTGTAATCCGGAGGATGTTTTTTCCTCCCCAGCCTCCTGTTAAGGTGATATTGACTATTCCATCCTTTGCTGTATGAATATTTTACCCTTGTAGATTTTAGTCAGTGAGTGAATTATGGTGATTTCCTAAGAGCAGCTTAGATGTGGCACAAAGCGGAAAATATGGGGCTCCCAGTAAGGATCGAACTCACTATTATGTCATAATTGTTCTAATGACACAAGCTTTCTAACCAGTACTTCGCCTCGAAGTGTCCCGATGTGTTAACAATTACCCTAATTGTAACATTTTAAGTAAGGCATTATCAACAAAGACAGTTTCCAACCAAATGGACACCCAATTATATATATAAGGCTCAAACACTAATATTCCATGTAATTTATTACACTGGAATTGTAATCACAATCCAAATCGTCAGGCCTAATTTTTTTTTTTTTTTAATTTGTAGGTCTGATGAATTGGATCGTGATTACAATTCCAATGTAATAAATTATAACCATGGAATATTAGTGTTTGAATCTTTTATATTATATTCTTACTCTGTCCTGGACATTGAGTTCTACCTTGATTCTATCCTCTTGGGAATTTATAGATAGATAGATAGATAGATAGATAGATTTGTGTATGTGTATAGTAACTCTATGCGAGAAATTCAAGAGATAAAAAAACAACTAAAATAATAATATTAAAAATAAGACTAATAATATTTTATGATATATTAGCAAGTCTTTTGACCAAATGGAAGCAAGATGAAAAAGATGTTAAAAATCAGAATTTTCAGATACTCCTGTGTCCTTTCTCAATGTGAAATAAAAAATAAATTGGGACTTTGGGGGAGGGGCTATTTTTTTTCACCAGTGCTATATGACTGATGACATCTAGTAGTTTTGTGCTAGTTTTTTTTTTTTTTTTTTTGCTATAATTAGAGTTGTAAAAGGTTTGTAGAAGGACTTTTTATGGGAACAGTATTCTGCACATATTGAACATTTATGAAATCGGTCCCATAATAAACTTATGATGTTCAACACCTAAACTGTTCAATTTCATTGAGCTAGACTTAGTAGCTTTTCAAGATAATTGCTTTTAAAAATGATGTCAAATTTTTGGGGACACCCTATATAATTTTCTTTCTTTATTAAAACTTAATACTTTTCAAATTTAGTAATCAGTAATACAAGTATGTAATTTTAAGTTGTTCAACTTTTGTTTTTATGAAGTGTTCATTCACCCTTTCAAAAAGGGTATTTTAGGTTTTTTTTTTTTGTCATACATATGTTTGCATGTGGGTGCTCCATTGATCAAAAGCCACTATTAGTGAAAAAATAAGATTTTTTTCAATAAATTAGTTGCTTCTAAAACAATTAAAAAAGACTTAACTAGAAATTTTGTATCATCTTGACATCATCCAAAAACACTTAACCACTTGGTCCCAAATGAATATTCTATCATCCCTGGGACAGTGGGATGTTATTAATCTTGAATCTGAATCCATTCATATCCGAATAAGCAGAGATGCTAAAAATGTCTCTTCATGTTTCAACCGCTAAACATTCTGCATCATAAAAGTTAGATGTGATACTTACTGAGGTCCTTTCTGTAATACTCCATCCACACAATGCCCAAATGATAAACAAGGAGGCCCTACATCTGTAGCCCATTGTTTTGAACTGAAAAACAGTAAATGAGAATTGAATTACTGGCAATATTTTAATGGTGGGTCATCTTTGGCTAATTTAATGACATATCAACTCTTATAACATTATTTAATATCAAATATAAGTATTCTTCTTCTTTATGTGCTATGTCCCCTCAAAACGTAGGTGATCATGGCTCTCCACGACTTCCTCCCCTTTGTAGTTCTTAATAAATTTTATTTTTTACTATTTCTTCTAAACCCTGTACCACCATCCATTTACTCAACTCACTAAGTATGTTATGTGTTGTTTTCCTCTCTCGCCTTCAGTCTGTCCTGTGAGTATCAGATTTTCCAAGCCCTCTTTCCTCAGTATGTTCCCTAGAAATTTTTAACTATCTCTTCCTGATGCTAAGTATAAGCTTCCTTTTTGTTTCGCATTTTCTCTAAAAACTTTGTCGTTGCTCACATGTTCAGTCCTTGGTATCCTCATCATCCTTCTGTAGGACATTTCTGCTGCTTAAAATCACTTCATCCTTGAGGGGATTGTCCAGCACTCACTGCCATACAGGAGAACAGATATCACATAACAGTTTAGTACTCTTTTCCTTGTTTCTAGCAAAGTTTTTCTATTTTTTAGTACTCTGCTTTGTTTTTGGAAGGCATCTTTGGCTATCTCAATATGCCTTTGGGTTTCAGTATCACACTTCTCCTTCAGTAAATATTTGACAAGTAACACTCCGTGTATGCTAAAAATATGTGCTATAGTGAGGACACATATACTGACTAAGTTTAAATTCACCTAATAGATGCCTACCAGATCAGGGCAACTCTTGAGAATAGAACTCACTACAGTAGTCACCTTTGTCATCTTCTTCTTCTTCAGTACTTTGACGATCATGGCTCTCCACAATTTCCTGTCCTTTGTAACCCTTAGTATTGTCTTTTTCCTATATCTCCTAATCCCTGTTCTTCCAACCAAGCTTGTTATGTGTTTCTCTGGCCTTCAATATGGACGAGGAGTCAAATTTTCCAAGCCCTTTTTTCTCGTTATGTGTCCTAGAAATTTCAACTGTATACAAACCTAAATCCTTCATAACAAATGTAGCAATATTCAAAAGTACTCAGGGATATATATATATATATATATATATATATATATATATATATATATTGGGTAAGTCAATGATAAAATTTTATAAAAAATAATGTAGAGTATAAGTGTTTTATTACAGACCCCTGACAATAATCACAGGCAGCACGATATCAGAAATGCTCTTCCTCTTTTCCCTTTGATTTTCGGAGCAACAACACACGTTTCTTTTTGCTCCGATATTTATGAGGCGTGTAAGTATTTCAGAGATACAGACTGAAGATTGTAGTGAACCAGTCAAAATTTCAAGTTCATTTAATTCTTTATCCTTCTGTGGCATGTCTTATTAATACATTTATTACCATATTTGCCGGCTTACAAGACGCACTTTTTTCCCTAAAAAACACCTTGAAAAATACGTGTGCCTCTTCCAAGACAAATGTAAGGCAATGCTCAGGCTCAAGTAAGCTTGGACGGTCACCTAATTGGTTTGACTGATAGGGACCTGGATTTGTATGTTGAGTCATTACACTATAGTGTTAACTATCTACCTAATTCAGCCCTTTATATGATGTAACCTCAGTACTTATCTGTTACAAGTATTTCCAAGACTATAAACCTTCCTGGGACCGAGCCACAAGCTTAAACATGCTCTGTTTACTAGCAGCGGCGGGGGCCTTTCTGCTCTTGATTAGTATGTCATTGTCACACAAACAAAATCGGACGAGTGATTAATGTAAAAATATGTGGCACCAGTATGTGAGGGACACATGGTGAATGTGTTGTTGTATGAGAATGACTTTTTTCCTTAGAAATTTCTTTCCAATATTAGGGTGCGTCTTCCATGCCGCATCATCTTGTAAGCCGGAAAATACGGTAACTGATATTTGGTCGACTACCATGTTTTGTTGTCCTTTTTTACCCTGGAGTCATGTGAGTCTGCCAAATATTGTTTGCAGGACAAATGTACCAGAAAGCATAAAATGATGATAGATAGATAGATAGATAGATAGATAGATAGATAGATAGATAGATTATCTCAGCTGCGATTAATCTGATAGATAGACTGCGGTAATATGCTTGAAAAATGCATAAATCCCCCCCCCCAGATATGAGTGGCAAAATCATGCTGAAAATCTCAGTTCTTATTCGATCACTAATATTAAACAGTCTTAAGCCGGATCAGTATTTAGATGATGGCAGGAACCACTTGGGAACATCGGTTACTGTAATCAAACTCCTTCAATCTGAAATAGGTTTCAGCTTTAAATAACCCACAGAGGATTGATAAGCCATAAAGACGTAAATCAATCCCCCAACTGCGGGTTAAATAGCAGAGCAGCCTAGGCTCCTTTGTATTCATAAGGCAACCGCCCTATAAGGACCATTCCGAGTTCAAAACCAGTCTGAAAAGAGATGAACTCTGTCAGGCTATCTTGCCCAGGACACACCCACTGTTGTTATGACTGCAGTACATGTAGTGCCCTTCTGACCCCTAATGACTCAGGCATTGTTATTAAACAGTATACATGTTAATCCAAGATAATGATCGCAGCCACCCACAATGATCTCAAGGTAAAACATTTTCAAACAAAAACACAATAATTTTCTCTTACTTGCATTTGACTATAGAATCATAAGCCTTATTGCCCAAGGACCTGCTGTCATCTTCTGGGTAAGTACCTGTCACGGGGGACGTCTGGAGGCAAAATCGAGAGCTGATATTGTTCATCTGTGGTGGAGGTGGGGGAACACTGAAATATGTTCTACCACTGACAACTTCTGACATAACCTATAAATAGAAATAAATGTGTAAAAAATCAATCATAAAAGTTGGCCGTGTGTGTATCAGAGAACTGTCAATCAACAATAGAACTGTGTGTCAATCAACAATAGAGGGTGAGATTACAAGAAAATAAAGCTGATATCATTTCATTTATCATCATTTCACCCCAAGCAAGGCAATAATGCCATTAAGATGCAAGGAGTCATTGAGAATGAAAGAAAATGAGGAAACACTGAGCAGAAAGGACAATAAAAGAACAGGTTTCAGGAAGAGAGAAAATAGAAAGAGACATTGTATTTAAATTTTTGTAGATCGTAGGTAGCAGGGTAACAAGAAAGCGGAAGTAAGTTCCACAGGTGAGAAGTGCGACAAAAACTATTAAAGAAGAACTTACAGTCACATCAAGCTATTTCAATAGTAAAAAAAAAAAAAAAAAAAAAAATATGGGACCTAATTGCCAATCTAGTAGTATGCTTCAATGCATGCGGTTGATGTGCTAAGGAGGATATCTCATTGGAATAATTGTCATGAAAATATTTATAGAAAAGACTGGGTATGACGTGTCCTGGATATGACGATAAACTACATCCGGCAGCAAGCCCCCTGATCAGGAGCTTGGAGATTTTGGAAGAGCGTGAAACCAATTCTTAATTGTTGTTGTTCCCAGGTCCACCCTGACTCGGGGTGCTAACACCTGTTATGGAGAAATAGCGTGGTTTGACAAAGGATCCCTTTATGACGACAATGACGAGGCAAAATGTTAGAGTGCTGGAATGACGGCGTCCTCGGTTGCCGTTAAAGTCCTAGTTGGGATGACAGGAAATGCGATCCCATCAAAAATCTTTGCTCTACTAGTATTATAACAAAGCTCATCAACAGAGAACTGCCATGCGTGCAGCCTGCCAGTTACCCGGAGGTGGGGGCACTGTTCTAGACTACGTACTCCCACCTGCACGATAAACAAAAAGAACCGATAATGAAGGAGAAAGAAGGAGAGACACAGGGAAACTACATCACAGTGGTGGGAAAGTCACTGAAGGCTAGGTGCCAGATGAGGACTGATAATATTACAGACTCTTTGGAATTTTTTTTTTGGGGGGGGATTTTAAGATAAATAGCCGGAACAACAGACCAGATATGGCAACCATCTTCCACTCATAGATGAATGATAGATTTATAAATGTACAAGATGGATTCTGACGAGAAAAATGATCTGGCACAACACAGTGAATCAACTTTCCTAGCAGCAGATTGAATATATTCATTCCACTTGATGTCAGAGGAAAACGTGAGACCAAGAAGATGCAATGGGTTTGTCTGGAGGTTAGCATCAGCCATGCTTATCGAATGCAATAATGGCTCTCTAGGATAACTAAAATATAGCAGATAAAAAAAATTAATACATGTCTAGGAAAAAATACAGTGAACTAGAAATATAATCTGCTGTTTCCAGATTTCTAGAAGCTTCTGGTCAATTTAATTTTTTCTAATAATATCTTTTTGATATTATAAATTTCTCCTATGCAGCAATACTGTTTTTAATTATCATCCTGTTTCATCCATTGTAACGTCCTTCTTCAGGTCTCCTGATAACTTTCAGGGAATTTTTAACTGAACCCTTTATTTAATCTATGAAGAAAGATTTTTCTCCTTCCACTGTCCATGTCTAAAATTCTCTTTTCAGTACCCCCTCAGTTATTAGTAACCCTGTTTGCACTATCACTGAATCTGTACCAACCGAAATTGAATTCACGTTTACGATATCATCAAATTCAAGAACGAAAGCTTAAATCCTCTAGACTGTTGTCTCACGGGACAATCCTGAATCTAGAACTGGAAAATTTACACCTAATGTTCTTATTGCCTGCTTGCTGCTGCCTTGTTGTTATGCTTGAACGCCTTCTACTGGAAATAATGTTAACTCCTCATCCTAGAAATTCAGATGAAATTAATATTTCTATCTTAATTTGTGTATGTATGTTTGAATTTAATTAGATTATCCGGTGTTTTTATAGAAAATCTGCCAACCCTAATTGTACTGGCTAAAAAAGATGTATAAAAAAAAAAGATATAAAAAAATGTACAAAAAAGATGTATAAAATAAAATTATCTTTGCTAAAAAAAAGATGTAATAAAAGAAAATAAATGTGTGTGGAACAAAGACAAGTTTGTGGTTTCTGAATCATTGTTTTGAAATGACTTGGGCAGAAAGTTTATATAGTACGAGTCTGTCACTATATATATATATATATATATATATATATATATATATATATATATATATATATAGAGAGAGAGAGAGAGAGAGAATATCAAATCCGTAAATGGTAAGGAAAATATGTGTGTGATAGATTAGTTATATGAAGTGTGTTTGTGTGATAGATTACAGTTATATGAGGTGTATGTGTGTATGTGTATACACTTCTTTGCATTATTGCAAACGTCATGTGACATATAACATGCCTAATATTTGGCCAAATGAAAATGAGAAATATTTTGATTTTAAAAACAAAAAAAGAAAAAAAAAAAGAAAATGTTCACAAAACACGGTTACAGTCACAAACTCTAAAAACAATTATTGACGGCGAGTTTAGAATCATTGACATTCACGTGCCAAATAATAAAAACGATAATAATTTGACAAGTTATTCAAAAAACAACCACTTGATCATTCACACAATATGATCCTAACAACCATAAACACTTTACTCAACAAAAGGTTAGAGCATTGGTCTTGATCAGTTTTATAGCTTCTTATCTCTTTATATTTATTTTATAGCTTTTTATTTCTTTTTTCTTTTTTATTTTTTTAAGCGTTTCACCCCAAGCAAGGCGGGAAGCCACTAACACGCAAAGGATTACAGAGAGTTGGAGCGAGAGGAAATGGGAGTGATAGAGGAAAAGATGAAGAGGATAGGGGACACTGATTTTTTACGGTTTATCAACCCTTTGTGGGTTATTTAAAGCCAAAATATATTTGGGGGTTCTTGGAGGTTTCTTACAATACCCAGTGTCCCCAAGTAGTTTCCCATCTAAATACTAGCCAGGCTCGTCACAGCATTGTACGAATAACATTTTACATTTTTTAAGGGAATATTGCATTAATTTTTTCTTTTTTTTAGAGTAACAACTATTTCATCAAATACAAGATTTAGTAATTAACCCTTAGCTGAGGGGATTGTTGTGGTAAGAGCCAGTTACCGTCCTTAATATCATGAATCGACAAAAGATAATACTATTGCAGTGACTTGTCCAGCTGAGTATTGAATACTACAATCACGTCTGACTCGGTCGAGTCAAGTGTTGTGTCTTGCCAAACCACACATCACAACAGGGGCTACCTCCACAACCCTCCTTGGAGGGGTATACACATTCAGATACTTACCTGGCACAGGACTCCGTCCCTGTGCTGGTGGTATCACGGCTACCACTAGCTTGGACCGGCTCTGACCAGCTATGACAAGCCAAGACCAGCTTGGACAAGCTATGACCAGATAAGACCAGCTTGGACCAGCGTCCCGAGTGAAAACACTCGGGTCCCCACATTAAAAACTGACCTTGTGTCACAACCTGACTGGCAAGTAAGTGGGAGGGGGCAAGTAAATCTCTACTTACCGGTCACAGGGATCCGTCCCTGCGCTGATGAGTATCACGGCTATGGCGAACTTGGACAAGCTATGACCAGCAAAGACTAGCGGCCCGAGTGAAGTCACTCGGGTCCCCACGTTAGGAACCGACCTTGTGTCACAATCTGACTCAGTGGGGAGTTAAGTAAATCAACCCCACATCACAGCAATTGATCGGACAAGAATGAATCATTAATTATTATAATAGTGGTGGACAAAGATTCGTTGTGAAATGAGTACGCCGAAAAAAAAAAAAAAAAAAAAAAAAAAAACACCGGAATCCACGGAAAATTAAAACATCTGAAATCTATAATGGAAGAAAATTTTCAAGTCAAACAATTAAAAATGAAGGGCTTGAAAGCAGTAATGCTGGAATTAATAAAACAACAGCGAGAACGACGACAACAATTCTAGGAAACCTTATTGAAACAACAAGAACAGCAAAAAAAAAAACAAAAAACGCTAAAACTTTTTATGAAGAGTGAAAGTAACGAAAACACTTCTACTTTTTTACTCACAGAAGTAAGTAGTAAATACAATTGGTGAATTTAAAATAACACTGAAGAGGTTACATTTACAGCATACTACAGACGCTACGAGGAAATCTTTTAAAAAAAGAAGAAAAAAAGACTGTATAAAAATGTGCGCCTGTTACTAAGAAGGTTAGGGGCCACGAAACACGAAAAATAACTGAATTACATCATGCCAGAAAAAAATCTCGTAAATTGTCGTTTGAGGAGAGTATTATGTTGTTGAGCAAAATTTTCGGTGAATGTTGGCATTGCTTAAATTTTGTAAAAATAAATATGCAGCTTATACGACTTATGCTAGTATCGTAAACAGGGAATGTTCAGGTTAAACAAACACACGGCATGTTTAAGTTCTTGATCTTCGTGCAAGGGTTGATAGCAAATCGTGATGCGGAAATCTGTTCTACAATTCTGACTAAGCTTGAACAGGATTCAAAATTGACCTTGCAAGCTGAAGAGTGTCAAAGAATAGTGAACTTACGACAAGATTCATTTTAAACCAAGGTATCGAAAATTAGTGAAGGTACCTATTTAATATCAATGACAGCGTGACAGTGATCGCGGAGACGGTGCAAGTTCTGTCCTTAACTTCTATGCATATGCATGCATATTTGTGTCACATCCTGCCTTAGGTAGTGAGATGGGGGGGAGGTTAATAACTTTGTTTACAAAATGTACATTTTTTTATATTCAAAGGAAAAATTTCTTTTATTGTCCTTTTATGTTTGTGTCCTCTCTCCTTAGCATTAGTTTTTTCTCATATTCTCTAACACTCAGTAACCCCTGGTGTTTTTTCATAGTGTCTTTATTGCCTTGCTTGGGGTGAAATGATTTTTATAAAATTCAG